TGGGGTGGAGTATTGGAGAAAAAGACCCAATAGTGTTTCAACACCATTTACGAGGGTGGAGGTCTCGTTCATGCAAACTTGCGAGGGTACCCGCACAACTGCACACTTTGGGGCATTTTGGTCATTTTGCTCATCATTTACCGTGGGGGTTAGGTTTGGTAGCCACACTTCGATTTTCCACCATTGGAGCACCTTGGAGACGATTTTGGAGAGCTTTATCTACATTCTTCTCATCCTTCTAGTAATTGCTAGTTTCTTGATGCAAAAACACTTTTGTGATTGTTATCTTGTTGCCATGAGTGGCTAATCTCTTTATTTTGGTTGACTTGGGCTAAAACCATTGGATATTTGTGGGTTTTGAAGAATTCATGCTTGACTGTCATTTATCTTATGTTTATGATTCTAGTTCATAATTCTTATGCTTGTTTAATACTTTGATCATGAGCTTGGTATTTAAATGAGCAATTGTTGCTTTATTTCTTTGATTTGGCATTGAATCATTGAATTTTCTTAGAACAAGGGCTTTATGATGGTAGAAATCATCTCTAGCTTATGGATCATGACTCCTTTATGGATGTGTAAGCATTGACATCCTCCTGGAATCCGGGATTCCTTCATTCTTAAGGCTAATCAACTTTCTTGGGTTCAATTGCTTCAATTAAATCCTTGATTTTGATTAAGAAGGTGTGTTTTGGGCTTCCCCAACCTCTATACTACATTTGAGGAATCTTGGCATATCATGCTTCATGATTATTATAACCCATTTGGGATGAATGATAAGCTTCATATTGAATCCTAATGATAAACATACAAATATACATTGTGTTGAATTGCCTTGGTTGACCAATTTCTCAAATATTTGAGCATCTCACCATCTTGCTTAATTTCAAGAATTTTAGTTCTTCAAGTCTTTTAGTTTTCAAACAATCACAACCCCCCCCCCTCTTTAGTTTGATTGTAGTTAGTTAGTTTTATTACAATAGTTCTATTGGATTGCATTGGTGATTGAATACAACCATTTCGCCAATGATCGATACCCCTTTTTACCATTATATTACGTTTTATTTGCAAGAAAAGGGTGTAATTTGCTTAGTGGACTTGACATCCTACCAATTTTTGGCGTCGTTGTCGGGGAAATTGGTTATTGTTATTTGATTGTTTATGCCTTGGTCTACAAGAACCAGTGAACTACTCTACAATCGGGAGATTGAAAAAGAAGCAAAAATGTTGAAAAATTTAGCCAAACAAGCAAAACAACAACAACTCGTTCAAGTTTCTTCCTCTTCTCCACTAATCAACATAGAAGACCAAGTCCATACTTCAAGTGATACCGACACTTGATGCAAATATATTATTTATAAGAATTTAATTCTTGATATATATATATATATATATATATATATATATATATATATATATATATTGTAATTAATTAGAAATTATTTATTTCATGGAAATATTAATTTTTAATTCTAAGTATCAAAATATATTAAAATATATCATAATGTAGATTTATTATGTCATGTATATCTTTTTGAACCAAAATGTGTTTTTGTCTTATATGAATTTATATGTTTTAGAAGTTATAAAAAAATTAGAAGAGTTTTTTTTATAGAAAAACTAGTTTCTTATATTTATAAAATATTCAAGGAGATCATAAAGGTAAAAGAAGACATGTTTGCATTTATTTAATCATAAAGTCACGTTCTTACACTTGTAGCCTTTTATTGCTAGATTCATGGTGTATTAAAACATCAAGACTTAATGGGTAAGGACTTGGATTAAGATGATTAAAAGTCTTGCATGTATCTCTTCTTTTATAAGCCAAAAACCATGAAATTTTGGGCATCATATCTCCTCTTTCTCTGTAGTTTCTTAAAGTGTTAAGTTCTTATTAGATGAAAGATGATACTTGCAAACTCTTTTTAAGTTAATACTTGGGTTTTAACATAAATCTTAAGAGTGATCTATTATTACAAGAATATACAAGACTAGCATCTTATCAAGTTGGCTAAATGTGGGTGGATACTTCTAGAGAACTTCTATTTTGGAGCTTAAATCCATCTTCATCAACTTTTTAATTGCCCAAAGGAACCAAAGTCTTCAAATTTTGTAACACTTTCCTTCTATGGTTGTTTTTATCTTTATAAGTCTTGCAAAATGATATTTTGGTGGGAATAAAACTAGTTTTATTTTTGTTTAAATCTTAAGTCCTCCATAGCCATGTTTATGTTTTTGAAACAATTTTTGAATAAAAACACAACACGTTGATTAGTTTATATAGGAGGTGCATGAGAAATGCAATGATGGTGGCAGTACCTTGGATATTGTTTCTTGTATTCAAGGTACTAGGGTTATTATTTAGTAAGTTTAGCATTCGTCCTTGCACCTGGTTTTAGGGATTCCTTTCATCCTTATTATATCTTGGGCACTATTCATTGTAAGAGAGAGATCTTGTTTGCACATTTCATCCGAATTCAACTATTTTGATTCAACTATACGACATATGGGGTCCCCCATTAGAAGGTATTTTATATTATGTATGATTTGATTAGTTATCATGATTCCAACTATGTTGTTTGATAGAGTTTATTAGTCAACATTCGAGATTTGTGTTAGGGGTGAGCATAGTGTGTAAACCTGACAATTTGTGTCTGCGTGTCGTGTATATGTGTCAAACACAAATTTACACGACACAAATTGGCACACACAAGCATGCCACAAATTGTAATGCCTGTCTTTGGTATCAAACACAAACACGACACATAATTAATCTGTGTGACACGTGAAACGACACGGATAGACACGTTTTTAACCGAGTTACACGGAAACACAAATTCACATGTATTTAAAGGAATTTAATTCATGTCTATATGTGTTGATATGTGTCACTTGTCGCGTGTTTATACATGTCACATGTCAAAACGAATTTAATTCATGTCTATACGTGTTTAAATAAGTAAATTCATGTTTGACACGCGTAAGACACGAAACACGAATTTCTAAAACCCATACACTAAAAACTCGTGTCGTGTCAATCATATCGTGTATCAAATTGCCGAGTCGAACAATGTGGTTCGGTGCGTTTTTGGTCAAACATAAAGCGGAAACTAAATTTTTGGTTTTTGAAATTTAGAAATAATTCATTTTGGTTTTTTGCGGTTAGTTTTTTTTTTGTCAGTTTTCACTGATTGTTCGGTTTTTGGTGCGGTTCGATTTAAAAACCGAAGTTAGAATCTTTGGTTTTTTTACAAAAATCGTCCCTAGACAACGACTTTTTCTTATTGACATAATTGGTCCATGGACAAAATTTTGTATATTTTCCTTATTTACAGAAATGATCCATAAACGTCTTTGATATAAATGGTCGGTGGACAAAATTTAGCATCTTTACGTTATTTGGATAAATGGTTGAATTATTTACATAAATGGTCCATGTACCTAGGTATATACATATAAACGGTGCAACTCTAATTTTTTGGCGGGTTTTCTCTTAAAGCTGCACCAAACTGAGTATAAACAATTTGAAAAAAACTAAAACCAACCGATTTGGTTTTTGGTTTCGGTTTCGGTTCAGTTTTTCCTTGCCCCTAATTTGTATTCGACTTTTTTTGAGACTACCACTAGGCGATACTCGAGGTTGCCTTGGTTGCTTGTTTATTATCATGGAAGAGATTATTGGTGGATTTTGAGCAATAATGATTCGTTCTTCTTGGTAATGTTTGGGTTTCTTGTTTGGTTGGATGGTAGTGAATTATACTTCATAGGTGCAAGTCATCAGTACTAGTGTTTGTAACTTAGTTTGAGAGCAAAAACATATCTACATCTTGGAAATAGATATTTTTTGTGTTGTATATTGAAAAGTTTTGTTAACATTAAATAGGTTAATCTAAGATGGTACAATACTTTGGAGATCATCTGCTTTGGCATGTTGATACCAATATGTGTTTGGCCACAAGACATTCGGTCAAAAGACATTTGGGCTGAAAAGCATTTAAGGGATATATGTTTCATTATGTATTCAGGCTTGGTTTGAGATTGATCACTTTAGTTTCATAAGGTATATCGTTTGTTTGGCTTTAGCCAATTTTGGACATAGTGCAAGTGTTAGTGATGGCCATGTCAACTTATTCGAGTTTGGGGGATTATTAATTTTTTAGGCCTGTGGGTACCAACAACATGGAGTGTTGTAATATATGATAAAAATTGTTTTCTAGTCACACCCATCTTTAGAAGCCATTGAATAGAAAAAAGACCACACCACGTGTGGTGTATGGATTTCATAGTGGTAGATAATATATTGGTATCAAGATGGAGTGGTGTGAATTTGATCATTTCCACACATAAGTAGTGTATTGTTTCTAAATGGAAATTGTAATTTTAAGTTTATGTGTTTGTTGTTTTACCTTTTGGCATTGTTGTTGTACAAATTATGCATACAACTAGATAATAATAATTGGAATACACAATTATTATGTTAGTTGCTTTTTGTTCCATTTGACCTTTCAACAATGCATAATAATGGCTAATGCATACAACGAAAAAGACAACCACCACAACACTCTTTCACACATTTCCCCATATATGCTTTCTTTAACATTTAACACCTACACAAAAAGACAACATCCACCCCTAAATTCTTCAAACTTTCCCCCTCCCATGGCAACTGTCATGGAAACCTCTATCCTCCATGTCTTCATCTGCTTGTACTTTCACCTGCTCACCGACTGTCACTTTAGATTCCCTCCCGGGATTTTCAGCTTCACATTCTTTAATATCAAACACGCCATTGATTGTAATTGGAAGAAAAAGACGAACTCGGTGATCAATTAAACAGTTGTGTTGTTTTTGGTTAGGAATATGGCAGAACAATGTACTACATCATACTAGAAACTACGAACAAACATCAATTAAGACAAAGGAAAAGTCAAATCACGATGAAAATGAAAAAAAAAAAAAAAAACATGTGCTCTTGAATTCTTGATCTAATTTTGATGGTTTCATTTGGTTCGATTCTTGAAATTCATCTTCTCGTAGTAACGAATTGAGAGAAGAGATAGCGAGAGTTGAACCTCGTCTTTTCCCCAATGAGTTTTGGGGGGTGTAGGCTTTGAGAGACCACCAATTGTACGCGGCGGTGGTAGACACGGCCACACAGAGCTGGATGAGGTTGCGGCGGCGATGGTGGAAGAAGACGATGAGGTGATCGTGGAGGTTGACGGCTTGGATAATGGCCATAGGTAATGAGCGTGAAGACGGCGGAAACCACCTAGCGCAAGGACTACTGAACGGAGCTGGTTGTTGCCGCAGCCCATATTTGCCCAATGCCTTGTGCATATCAGCTCCCATAACCGCTCATCTTGAGAAGTCCGATGCCACTGCTTGCTCACGCAACCCGCCGCACCTAAGGTCCGACCATCGACGTGCTTCAGGATCTCGTACAGCAAGTTTTCGTCCGAGAGGACATCCACTGCCGTAACCGCTTCCGGCAGCGGAGCCTGATCTTCTGATAACTTTATCTTCTTCATCTTGCTGTTTTTAACATCAATGGTGATGTTCGTAGGAACTTCGGATTTAGACATTGATCTCTTCATTTGTATAGAGAGATAATCGATTAAGATCGAATTTCAGTTTTGGCCTACTATCCCTTTCTTGATTATAGAGAAGAATCGAGGAGGGTTTATAACATTTAAGGAGTTATGGTCGTCCACCCACTTTTGATCGTTTACGAAGTGGACAAATAGAAATGAATGCACTTTGGGGCTTTTCGTGCATTTACCTTCATGTCCTTCTTGCTATATATATTATATTAACACCTTTTTAATTTATTATCATCTCTTATCTCTAAATAATACCTTTATTTCTTATACATATAAAAATCAAAATCTTCTATGTTTTAAATTAACCATTATCTCTAAATAATACCTTTATTTCTTATACATATAAAAATCAAAATCTTCTATGTTTTAAATTAACCATTGAGCTTTACTTGCGAGGGCATCTCCAACCCTACACTAAAAAACCACTTTTATACTATAAATTATACTATAATGTTCTAATCTCTAAATATTATTAAAAGAGAACTTTTAATTCTAAATTAAAAAATCAAGGTCATTGATTGCATTTCAATCCTATATTTTCTACTATTGGATTATTTGCTGACATCATCTTTGTCAACCCCTTTATTTTTGTCCATAAAATTTTATAAAACATATACTACGTTTTAAATTAGGAAGTCTATTAATGATAATTAAATTTCACCAAAAATAAAATGAATTAAATTAGGAATTTTATTAATAACAATTAAATCTCACCAAAAATAAAATAAATTAAATTAGGAATTTTATTAATTACAATTAAATCTCACCAAAAATAAAATGATAAAATGTCCCGCACCATCCCTCATTACTAGTACCCCTACCATCTCTCCCTTTTTTCTTTACATAATTTATCTAACTTAAGTTTTGTATTGGGAAAGAAAATGGGGGAAAGAAGAAATAAAATATATGTGAGCTTCGATCTGTGTAGATCAGTCTTGTGTTCGATCATCATGAAAGAAGGAGGAATGATATAGAGATAAATTTCTTTGGATTCTACTTTAATTTGTTCGTAGTTTAGATCGATTTTGGGTACGTTTTAGATTATGTTTCTTTTATTCTGTTTAAACTATGAAGTTCCAATCTATAAAACCTTTCGATTTAAGTTGAAGTCCATATTGGTTACATTGTCTGAATCTGCTTCGATTTTTGTTCTTATGATATGTATTGTTGATTTTGATTTTTTAAGTTATAGATATATGGAGAGCAAAATGATGGACACAGCAGCACCGCTACCTCTCATTCATTGTTTCGATTTGGAAGATATGTCCACTAGGTAGTGAATTTGTATATGTCGATTTGGAAGATATCCCATAAAAGTTAACACTTATATTCATAATCAATTTAAAATAAACCAATCATGATTTAGGAAAGAATTTTCATTGATGATATACTAAAATTAAATCTATATAACATTTAATATTCCATAAATTATACTCTATGACTTTATTTGAATAAATGAAATAGTTATCAATATTTAATACAGTGAAAAAACGGTATATTAGTTGTCAATATAGACTTGAATTAAGTAACCTTCTTATGGAATGAACTTCTAATTAGAATACTTACGCTTATATAACAATATCATAACCATATGTGACGAAGAATGTCATTCAACTAATAAAACAAAAAATGTTGTATACCACGAGGTCCTTCAACGATTATAGATATTTATCGATTTCAATGTATCTTCTACACATTTCAATAATACTCATATACGTAATTTTCTTCGTATTTATATACATACGTTCATAAGTATATATATAATTTCAACGTAGTTTACACATTTCAATAATACTCATATACGTAATTTTCTTCGTATTTATATACATACATTCATAAGTATATATATAATTTCAACGTAGTTTACAATATCATCATCTTTTTTATCGGGTATATTTGAAAGACGTTTAAAGATAAAACAAAAAAAGAGTAAATGAAGGAAAATATTAAAACACGTTAAGAGAGGAAAATCAATACAAGTACTTTCAATTGCTTTTATAAAATTTAAAAAGTATATATATATATATATATATATATATATATATATATATATATATATATATATATATATATATATTATATATATATATATATATATATAGATCCGGTAAGAAATTTTTTTTTGGTAGGAAGGTAAGAAGTTTTTTTTCTACATATTTTTTTGACGAACAAAATAAATGAATCACTAGATGATTCATTTGTAAGATGATTCACAAGAAAAAATTCCCAAAAAAACATCTTTATGATTCATTTTTAAGTAAATTAAGAAAAAATTCATTTTTATGACAATTTTAGTGAATAACAACAAAATCATTATATAAATGAATCATCGAGATGTTTTTTTGAGAATTTTTTCTTGTGAATCATCTTACAAATGAATCATCTAATGATTCATTTTGTTTGTTTGCGAAAAAATATGTAGAAAAAGACTTCTTACCTTTCTACCAAAAATTTCCTTCTTATTTGATCTTGACTATATATATATATATATATATATATATATATATATATATATATATATATATATATATATATATATATATGTATATATATATATAGTTAGATTAATGTGTTTCTTACATTTATTGTGTCCTAGAATGCACCAATAGGAATATAGTAAAAATTAAATAACTATTTAATTAAATAAAGATAGATATTAAATGATTTCCATAATTGTATGTATATTAAATGATATCCATAATTATAATTCTCTTTTTATTGAAACTAATTAAATTCGTCATTAATGTCAGCAACAACATTCTTTCAGAATGAATTCATATCTAGGTTTTTATGTATGAGTTCGTGTTTTGTTTCAAGTCTCACTCATTTAAAATACAATAAAGTTGTATGGAATATGAAGAACGATAGTGTATTCTACTAGAATACACTCTTATTCTACTAGAATACACTCTTATTTTTCTAGATACGAATTCATTCTGAAGGAATATTATTGTTGACATTAATGATGAATTTAATTAGTTTCCATAAAAAAGAATTATAAGTATGGATATCATTTAATATAAATATAATTATGGAAATCATTTAATATTTATCTTTATTTTATTAAATAATAATTTAATTTTTACTAAATTTTTATTGGTGCATTCTAGCACATAATAGATGTGAGAAACATTTGAACATATCTTTCTTTCTCTCTCTCTGTGTGTGTGTGTATATATATATATATATATATATATATATATATATATATATATATATATATTGTGTGTGACCCTGCTTACTAAGGTGGTGTTTTTTTTTTTTTTTTTTTTTTTTTTTTTTTTTTTTTTTTTTTGAGTTAGCATAGCAGGAGGAAATGGCTTTAGAGAACATCCTCAATAACTTCATTTGGTAGCCGATAAAGGAAGTGTCTCTAACACAAATGAATTTTTTCTTTGCGAAAATGGGCATTGTTTGCCCGACTCTGACAGTCCAACTAGTTCTATACCCTCTGTTGTTTTCTTTATAATACTAAAAATTATGCATATTATAATGTACAGTTTTGATTGTGTAGATCAACCATGGAGGTGAGGTCCTAGTCTTAATCGAAAGGCTATATAGTTTATGGATAATCAACATGATGCTCGATTGACATTGACAAGAGATATGCATTGAAAGAAATTCATTGGGGGAATCATTAATATCGTATGTAACAGTTGTAATTACGATGAAGAACTTATGCGCTACGAAATTCCATACATAGGAGAAAGCATCGAAAGAAAATAAAGATAGTTGATCGAATCTAGTTTTTTTATTACTTGTTTGTTTCATGCATTTCTATATTCTAGCGACTATAAAAGATGATTTGAGACTCAAATATATCAAAGATTGATTCTCTGTCTTTGATACTTACATATATTAAGGACTGATTTTTAGTCCTTGATACATATAAAACCACTATCTAAGACTAACTATCTAGGACTAGCTAAATCAATCACGGATGCCCATCAGAGACTGATTATTGACCATCCGGGACTGATATTGTCAGTCTTTGATACCCTTTTTCCTTGTAGTATGAGAAAATACCTGAAAAATGTTCATCTTGTTATTTCATGAGTTTGGAACTCTCAATCTGCAACCATCAGCACAAACCAATAATCAACTTAATCATCTAAACTTAAATATGTTGTTATAAAAATGTGAAATTAGTAAAATTTATACACCAATCAACTAACTTATCTAACCACTTGTTGTGCGAAGCCTCCACTGGTCAGTCGTGTTGTTATTCTTCGTTGTATTTAAATGAGATACTTATATATACATACATACTTACATACATACATACATACATACATATATATATATATATATATATATATATATATATATATATAATTCGTCATATACATGTATATAATAGTGTTAGAGTGTTTTGCATAGCCGAGTATTTGGGCAGAGTAACCACTAGGTACTAAGCTTATCCAAAGGGTGGCTATAATATTGACGAGAGTAACGGTGTTTCTTGGAAACTAGCCATCGTAACAACTAGGTATGATATTTTCTATCAGTATGAGTCATCATAATGACTAGGTATAATATTATCCTTAGAAGTTGGGCAGAGTATGCAGAGTACCTACTAGGCATAATCTCATCCTAATGTTAAGTGCATAAATATCTAACTAATATTATACGATTAGTTAACAACTACAAAATATTTGCATTTTAACATGTATTCCCCCCCGAAAAGGTTTAGAAAATGTGGCTGTGAACTCACCTGTGAAGCATGAAACCATTGATGTAGGGTAGAATTTGGGAGTCCATGTGAGTACTAGGAATGATGCGCAAGGACAAGGTTTGAAAACTCAAACCTTGAGATAATATTTAGGATCAATGTCTTCTCTTAATTAATAGTTCCAATCAAGACTGGTAATACTAGTCGAGACTTGAAGTAAAGATTCAAAAAGTACACAATATTAAATGAAGAGACTGGGAGTATAATCAATGTAAAGACAATAAATAAACATGAAGAATGTTTATGAAAG